TTGCAAAACAAATTTCAACGGTTGAAATCAATTGCTGACAGTTTAGGTTTCCATCAGAGAGAGTGCATCCCCGATCATTCACTTTGTCCGACAAAGGGGCTGATCCTGTCACTATGATCATCCACTCAAATGAATTCTCGAATTGTCCCAATATACCCAGGTTTTGACCCCATCTATGGATCTCACTGATTGGCATATCAAAGGCTGCCCAATCAGACACCTAGTGCAGTATCATAATCGAGTCTAGGGGTCAGGTGTAACATTGCAGTTTTGCCCATCTATCTCCAAAGTATAGGGCAATACTGGAATTCTGATCCGGTTCAGGGTTTCAAAAAAACTCACACTACATGTACCTCAGGTTTTACCTTGACAGCTGAGACAAGCCACCCCAACCAACTTGGCGGCACATCAGTGTCAGTCTTTGCAGGATAAATCTCCCCAGATCTATCCAACGGCTGTGAAAATTCTAAACTAACACAAGTCTCATATGTGTCAAATTTAAGTGTATTACACAGAAACACACCATAATAATATGAATCAAATATGTACTTTATTTATTTACATTAAATGTCATAATGTACATCATTCTGATTGGAGCAAAGGGCATACAATGTCTAACATAAAGCCCAATTAGAACTTGCTTAATAAGATTAATTAAGTGATGGTGGTTCTGGGATTTAGATTGATAGATAGGATAAKGAATTATCCCTATCCAATCAAAGAGTACAGATCCAAATAAAGATTTGGATCAGGAAACTCCTAATTAGATTAAGAAGGCTGATCTTTATCCGCAGATAAGATAAGGGATTATCCTTACCTGTTAAAGAGAGTCCAGATCCAAATAAAAGATTTGGATTAGGAAACTCCTAATGGGATTAGGAGAACCTCTCTTTAAGGCTATAAATAGGAGAGCAGGGCAAACCTACATAGAACAATAGATACAACAGATAGTCTACTGAATTAAGAGAAGACAATATACAATTCGACTGCTTCTGTCTTCTGCTCTTGTTCCTGCTCTTGCCGCCCTACCCGGTTCGATCTCCACCAATGGGAGTGATCAAAAACAATTCTTGATATTGCCTTTTGCTATAAGAGACAATCCGAAATCATGCTCACCAGCTCTCCATCACATTCTTGTTGAAGAATTCAGTTCTTGCTAAAGAACCGTCTTGCTGATTCTACTTCACTTCGCACCGTGTCATTTTCGATGGAAGCTGTTTTTATTCTTCTCCTTGGGCGTGAACACTTTCACTAGGGGTTTACTATTACTCCGTATCAAGTATATCCATCTACTCTCTTGTTGGTTTCAGATCTGGTCCAGTTTGGTTTTAAGATTGATCATTAGAAATGCAGTTTTCTAAAATAAGGAATACGATTTCCACATGGGTGAGAGAAACTTTTGAAATTTCGCCAACCTTCCTACAAGGTTCGACCATCCATATGATAGATCTCTCATCCCTTCAGTGTTTTATAATTTATTACAAAGACCAAGGTACAAATGAAAGAAAGAAAGTCATAATTGTTCAAAGGATCAAAAATGCTAATGAAAACAGTGCAAATGTTGTTAAAGAACATCAAAGCAGTATAGGAATGTCATCTCTAAGTGCATCCATGAGCATGGGCATCCCATGATTGATTTTCCACAGTTTACAAGCAACAACTCAATTAAGAAATGAAGTTTTCCAATGCCAACCACCTGCATTCTACAAACCCATGTAAAATTTTGTTGGACGCTAGGGACTCTCAAAGCCAAATATTCGAAACACACCTGCGACAGAAATCAATAATGAATTACTTCAAACTTTAAGAAATACAACAATGAACTTTAAATCAACAATCAATAATGAATATTCAAAACACACCTCAGCTTGGTTATGAGTCCAGGGAAAATTTGCAATAAAAACTATGTTATAAGAATCAATCATGTCATAGTAAAATTCTTTTTCTATTCCTGCATTACTATTTAGGCTTTAGTTCTTCCAATGTGCAACTTGGCTACTGTCTAAATGTTTGTTTTTTCTCCTTCACTCTTACATTTGAATGATAAAGAAAACTCTCACCTTCATCAGCCTGATATTTATTCTTGTCATCGCCTGCATATGCCAGTAAATTGTATTTGGGATTCCATTCAACACTATTCATTGCAGCCCGACAAGGAATTTGATGGACCATTCTTCCAGTCTGTACATTTGACTGTTAAAAACATCCAATGACAACATTAATAAGCTAGCATTGGATATTGAGAAATACTTCAGGAAGGGATGTCAGAAAGAAGCCCGCCATATACTTGTAATGCATGATAGCATGCATGTACTCGCAATTTGAGGTTCTAGGACCATAGATAGCCTATGGAAATTATCTAAGTTGGCCATATTTTCTACCACCTTAAGAAGGTGATATATTAAATGAATTGGTCCGAGTTCATAGGTGGAAGCACCCATTTGATGGCAGCACGTTGTAAATAGACCATTTGCACCATAGGTAGGAAGAACAGCATCCTCCTATCACTCGGAATACTCATTATGAAGAAAATTCCTAGGTGAAGACACAAATAGTACAAAAAGAACCCACGAAAGACATACAATATCAATAAATAAATCTTCACTGGCAGAAGCAATATAATCTCCCGTGTAATTGAAGCTTATGGTTCTGACAGGCCACCTAAAAGAAACAACAAAAAAAATCACAACCATTAATTTCCAGAAGTTATTAAAGTTTAACTGGATGGTAGTTCATAATGGTACAGAATCAAAACCAAGATCGACTTAGCAACGCTTGGAAGCTGAACATAATGACGACCGTAGATTTCAAAAGAGATAATTTGTACGTAATTTCAAAGATTGCAAAGAACATGGAAACTTTAATTATAATTGGAAATAGGCTACAGTGTTCAGAAAATTGCATTTCTACAAATTGGGAAGCAATATCTATCTTTAAAATTTGGTGAATGTTATTAGCATTATCTTCCCATCCCCTCCACCAAAGGGTTTGGACTTACTCAAGTTTTGTGAATGTTCGCACACAAAGCATCTCTGAGAGATCCCAAAGGCTGACCAGAGAATCAGCACTTCCAACAGCAAAATATCTGTCATGGCAGAAAAAGGTCAAAACAAGGACTACAATCATGTTATTTGTTAAACATCTATACCTAGGAAATAATTATAGACCATACATATATTTAAAAGGACCACACTCTTTTATAAACATGTATAAGGGCAATTTCCCGATGATAGTCTTGGCCATCTGGCCTTGAGAGGGGTAAACTGGATATAGAGGCCTAACATTTGACATCTTTTGGTGCAAAAAGTGGCCACTCTCAGGCTTGCAAATATTTATGCATGGACTTAATCATACAGAAAGAACATGCATATGCAATGAAACAAGCATGGAATTACTTCAATTTTGTGCCAATGACAACAAACAGTTATATTTCGTAAGGCTCAGTTTGGGAAGAGAACAAATGCAAATATGTACCATGCAAAACCTTGTATTTGTATTGGTACTCTTCCCAAACTGAGCATAATGCATTTTTGACCAACATAATTGATGGTGTGGAAATCAAGAAATTGACTAAGCATATTCAAAAGGATGCCATAGTGCACGTCGTTCGCTGGTGACAGTATTTGATTGATGAAACCAGAGTGGGATTAAAGGAAAAATTAGATCTATGGACAAATACTATAAAAACAAGAGGTTTCAAGATACCTTGACTGACAGATCATATGCAATGTAAATTTATTTATAATAGTAGAAACGACACTGATAACTAAAAATAGTAGGAAATAGAATAAAATTAGGATTATGGACCAAGAGATAACTCAATATGACATTTTTATTTACCTTTTTTTCATAAATGATGAAATTTTATTAAGAAAGAGAAGGAATTACATCAAAGTTTTACAAGACAAAACATCCCCAATAGGGACGTGAGATGCAATCCCAAACAAAAACAAATTACAACTGAGCTAAAAAGAGTTCAGACTTGTGCACCCCTATTTTTGCAAAGTAATCTGCTATCTCATTTGCTCACCACCTTTCCCATTGAACAAACATTCTCACATCTCTAACCAGCCATTTGAACTTTTTCATAGATTCCTCATACTTCCAAATCACTGTTTCTGGTTCCTTCAGCCATCCTACTATCAATTTAGAGTCACCTTCAATGAGCAGTCTGTCAAAGTTTAGATTTCTAGCAATCTGTACTAGTAGCAAGACTGCTTGGAACTCAGCAAAAACTAAATCCCCTATTCCAACCTGGCCTGAGAGGCTGAGAATACAGCAATAATATGTCCATTATTCCTGAATACTCCTATACAGTTGGACCTGGATTCCCTAGATTGCTGCCATCAAAGTTCAACTTGATAAAACCTTCGTTAGGAGGTACCCAAGCTACCACTGGTTTGTTCCTTGCAGTAGAACTTCTTGCTACAGCTTTCCAATTTCTCCACAAGTCATCAACAGAAAAATCTGAAAAAAGGTTTGAGGCTTTAACCCAATGTAATAGCTCTATTTAAAATACAATCCCGCACTGCCTCCTCACTCCTTTCTTTATCAATGAAGACTGCCATTTCTCTCTTCCCACACCGTCCATATCAAAGCAGCCCTAACACATCTCCACATGACTTTACCTCTCTTCTTTGGCCAGCTGAAAGTCAGAGCCAAAGAGACTTCCAATCTGCAGGGGCACAATCCACCTATGACCAAAAACATCAAAAACCTTTTCCCAGAGGCCTACAACAAAAGGGCAGGAAATTAGGAGGTGGTAACAGCTTTTACCACTTGCAAGGGTACACCAGTTGGGGGAAAAACACAAAGGTCTTCTTTTTTGCAAGGTACCTAACGTGTTTACTTTTCCATGAAAAACTTCCCAACACAAGGCCCCAACCTTGGGAGGATTAGGTTTAGACCAGAATTCTTTAATTGGGCATGGAGATAGATTCGGGCTGAGCACAAAGAAGAAAAAGAACAAAGCACATGAGAACAAGCCCCTAGGGTGCAGAGTCCAAATATGACCATCAGGATTAGAAGGATCCAGGAAAACAGAGTCAAGGACCGGCAAAAGCGAGGTTGCCATTTCAAGCTCACTGTCTCTCAAGTTGCTTCTTAGTCTCAAGTCCCAACTGGACACAAAACGATGTACAGATTCTTTTTTAAACAAAGAAAGGGAATACAGAGAAGGAAAAAAAGAAGTCTTTAAGGGTTGAGTTGCCAATCCAAAGGTCCTCACAAAAAAGAACCTTATCTCCAGAGCAAACATCATACTTGATTAGGCTTAGGAACTAAGGAAGCACTCCAGATATGGATTTCCAAGGAGAAGCCAAAGTAGCCCTCAAAGAAACCCTAACGTCCTAACCATTACCTGCACCACAACGTATACTGCCTATCACCTCTTGCCATAGTTTCCCCCTCTCTAGAGGCCACTTCCACAACAACTTACCTAGCAAAGACAAATTCTTCTTTCCTAAATTTCCTATACCTAGACCTCCCTATTCTTTGCTCTTACACACTACATCCCACCTGACCAAGTGATCCTTCCTACCTTCCCCGAGATCCCAGAGGAAACCTCTCATCACTTTCTAATTTTGGCACTTCCCTCCTTGGCATCCTAAAGACCGACAGGTAATAGACTAGCAAATTTGCTAGAGTAGACTTTATCAATATAATTCTACCTCCCAAAAAATATAATCTCTTCCATGCTGCCAATCTCTTGGTACAACTCTCCACTACTATGTTCCAAAACCTACTTTCTTTCAGATTATTACCTAAAGGCAACCCGAGATATTTCAAAGGCCAGCACTCAATAGCACAACCTAGAGACTCTACTACTGCTTTAGACTTCAGTTCCTCCTGCCAATCTGTCGCCTCCTTCAACCTCAAGTTTATCCAACCTGCCTACCCTTTGGAGAGTTCTACTAAATACGTCAGCTATTAATGTAAAAAGGAATGGGGAAAGGGGGTCCCCTTGTAGCTAGAAAAAAAATCCCTTACCACACCATTCACTAAGACCAAGTAATGACAAGCTTTCAAACACCCTATAATCCAACTACACCATCTTTCACCAAACCCGTAACACACTAACACTTCATGACTTCTAAAAGAAAGACCCAATCCACCACATCATAAGCCTTCTCTAGATCTAACTTACACATAAACCTTCCCTCTCCCTTTTCCTCACATTCATTTGCTATCAGTATTTGATTTGTAATTTGTCTCCCTTGAATGATGTAGAGAAGATGGGCCAAATTGCCCATAGCCCACAGTTGTTATTTCTTCTTTATTCTTCTGTTCTGTTTTGTTAATAGGCCTTCTCTTATGAGCCTGTTAACATCAGTTTTATTTTGTTTAATTAGCTGGCCGCCAAATTAAGGGCTTACTTGTAATTTCTGAAAATTAGTGACTAATTTTTAAATGAAAGCATTAGGGGAAGGAGTACAAACAACTCTTCTCCTCACCCTTCTCACAACTGAACTCTTCTTCCTCTTTTTGCTGTTGATATCTCCTTTGTTTTCCCCTTCTTTTAATCACTTTTCTTATTCTTTTGGGACTGTTTTTCTTCTTAGTATCAGAGCAGGTCCCTTTTTTTCTTTCCCCCTTTTTTCCCATACACACTGTGTTTCTTTCCCCTTTTTTTCCCAGAGCTGAATCAAATGATTGATTGAAGAAGATATTCAGCCCAGTTGGTAGTGGTTTATTGGAGAAAAAAGGAAGATATCCTTCTCAGTTGGCTGTTAAGGATCCCACAAGAAGCTTCACCTTGATGCTCAATGGCTGCAGGGGCTCTTTCTGATTACCTTGAAAAGCGATCCGAGCTTTGCGCAGTTCTGTGAAGCCTACAAGGAGCGGCTACCGTTTTTCTATGTATCCTAGGTTCCGGGTGAGACGCAGTTGGCTGTTAAGGATCTGTGAAGGTTCTTGGTGTCTGTTATTTCCTGCCTTCTTTGCCATCTAAAACTGTTTTAGGAGTTGTTTGAGGAAGATGGATGTTTCTGGAGTTGAAAATAAGATGGGATCAAAGTCCAGACAGGTTTCGGGAGCACTTGTAGACTCTTTATTGGTTGTGACCATAGTCAAGCTTGATGGGACTAACTATCTAGCATGGTCACAATCAATAAAGACACATGTTTGTAGTAGAGGCAAGTGGGGATATATTTCCGGGAGCAAGAAAGCACCAAAGGAAGATGACTCGTCTTATGAGAAATGGTTGCAAGAGAATTACACTGTTATTGGGTGGTTAGTGAATTCGATGCAACCACAAATTAGTCAACACTATCTGTGGATGAATTCTACTAAGGAAATATGGGATAGTGTTGCTGAAACCTATTCACAAAAATTGAATGTGGCCAGGGCATATAAGTTAAGAAGTGATGTGAACAATCTAAGGCAGGGGAGAAACCTTTAGCAATCAACTTCTCAATGCTGAAATCCTTCGGGCAAAAGATAGATCTCATGGAAACAGTTGTCTGGGAAAGTACAAATGATGCAGAGATAGAGAAAATTAGTTGAGAGGAATAGGATTTTTTAATTCCTGACAGGGTTGAATCCAGAATTTGATATTACCAAACAGACCTAGCTAAAGACAATATATCTTTGTCTCAGGCTTTTGCCATAGTGAGCAGTGAGGAGAGTAAGAGGATGGTTCAGGTTTAAGGGACTATTCTAGTTGACCATCTTGCTAATATGGGGTTGAAACCTAAGATGACTACAGGTGGTACAAGGAAGAAAGAGGTTATATGTGAATACTGTAAGAAACCAAGACGTACAAAGGATAAATGTTGGAAGCTACATCTAGACCTTATTCCACCCCGTTTTCAAAAGAAGGTCGAAAATGAGAAGACCGGGAATGCCAATGCAGCCACAATGTCAGATAATGACAAGAGTGCCTCAGATGAGAAAGCTGCTAGTGAGCAGTTAGCTATTATAAAGGCAGAGTATGAGAAATATGGGAGGATGATCAGCCACCTCCTCCAACTCTTCAGGCAATCCAACTACGTCTGCATTTGCTCATCCAGGTATACATGCTACTGCCAACCACGCAGCCATCTCAAGTAATCGCAGAATCCCTTGGATTATTAATTCAGGTGCTTT